GGAAGTTTAATTTATTTAACCAAGTTACGAACGGTATTTAGTAAGCCTACTTATTTACTTCCTCTAATGTAAATCAATAACAAATTTGGGATCCGCTTTAGAGAAACCCCGATAAAAGTGTTTTCGCAAAATACCCGTGTTCCCTAAGGGGTTAGGTGAAAATATTTACCTTTGTACAAATCTCATGTCCGAGACGATTCGTTTGGCATCATTTAGAAGTTGTGAGTGTACAAGTTTAGGAAAAAAGATTTTCGGGAATTCTTCTGGTTCCCCAAGGAGTGTGGTGAAGAATTGTACCTTTGTGCAACCCTCGGGACCGAGACGATTTGTTTGGTACCATTTAGAAGTCGGTGCGACCAGCGGTTTAGGAAGAGTTACATGACACACAGACACTGAATCTTATTATATAGATTTCTGATACTATATGAATCCTAATATAAGACCTGTATTATGACAGGTCAATATAAACTTTAGAGTCTCACCAGAGTTTTTGTGATTACTTTAAAGATAAATTATTAAAGTGTAAAATAATATATTCATATTTATTACACATTTATTATATAGTTTCATAAAATAACCACGCTCCGCTGCGGGATTATAAGGTCCCCTCATCATTCAAAGAGGCCTCAATGTACTAGTCAAGCGTCTCCATTATCTTAATTACTTCTATATCCACCCCAATGCGCCAATTATTTAATTGACTTATCTGTTCCCCTTTCCTAACTTAATTCAATTCAACTCTTTTTAAAAGCAAATAGTTTTAATTTAGTTTCTCAGATTGGTTTTCTTCCTGTGTTTTTATTGGAATCATTTTCATTCTCCGAATTCTCCATTATTCTCTGATTCATATTTTTCTTCCCATTGTTTGTCGCCGTTTCCCAAAGTTAGTTCAATTCAACTTTGTTTTTAAATTTTAAAATTTGTATCTTCCCATGTTTGTGTTGATAAAGAGTATTTGACAGAAAACATCCACATATTGTTCATTCAGTAAGTGAGGAATTAAAAAAATATGATACTTTTATATAGACCTTCAGGAAGGAGAATTGCGGGGCTTAAGGGCTATAGGGCAAAACTATAGGGCAAAAAATTGTCCAACATTTTTTTGAGTCAAACCTGAAAAATAATACCCAGGTACACACCCTCAAAATCCCGTTATTATGCATGAAAAGTTTCAGGTCTCTAGGTTCTTTCCTCTTGGAGCTATGGCAGTCGCACACACACACACAGACAGGCATTTTCATTATTATTGATTAAATTATACAATAATTTGTTTATTTAATTAACAGAATCTGATAAAATCAATAGCTTCTTTTTCAACTAAAGTGCACCTAATTAAGCAGATTGTCTATCATATCAGAATACAATTTATCAAAATTCAGAATCAAGCGCACATTTTGAATGATATAATTATTGATGAATAAATTATGTATGATTCTATATAGCTTAAACTGTCTAGAAAAATAAGTAAAAATTTACTGTGTTACTAAACATTAGTCTCTTACGTTCAACGAATTTTTAAAACGGACAAAAGTACATTTCACCAATTTACATATAGTTAATCATCTCGTCAACAAGGTAGCCCCTTTTCTAAACTTTTCAAGATTCTTCTCAGGTGTTAGCTTTGAAAAACGCAAGAGAAATACGCTTATCATGTGTTCATTATGGATGTAACAAGAGTCACTGTTACAAATTTAATACAATTATATCTCTTTTATAGCAACTGTTTTCTTTCATTCTTGACTAGCACTTACTCAACAAATTCTATGAACAATAGAAGCTTGCAGTTGAATTCTGAAAGTAATAGCAATGAAGCAAATTAATTTCAATAACACTAAGTCTACCATCATTTAAGTATTAAAATTTATCACTATTGTTAAGTGGTATAGTAATTATAGAAGAATAGATGGTTAGGTTCTATTTTTAATACTTTTTAGATTTAAATGCCAACACTTACCTTCTTGTTCTGGCGCGCTGCTGATGGTGAATGGATGCCACTCAAACTGAGTAATTGAAGGAATTTTTATAAACACATAATCTCCTGGCTGAAATTCAAAATGTCGAGGGCGTTTGATAATCAGATGAATTACCTGAAAATCATAAAATCATAGGAATATGTCATAACATTTTTGCTTTTAGTTGTCAGCAATAGAGTTACGTTAATTGCATGTTTTCAGAATCATAGGTGTGCAAATATAACATTTTAACAATTTGTCTCTCACAAGTTATTACCCAAGATGCCTTTCGTACAATGCCAGAACTCGTCAGTTGCGTTGAACAAATTCAGAAGAATGTGGAAAAAATCTGCAATTTACATGATTTTTATCTTAAATTTTATGAACGATTTAAATGAATATAATTTTGTAAATTATCTTTGTTTCTTTAAACGCAAGCCAATACAATGAGCTATTTGCGCTGTGCCGTTGCAGGTATAAAACCCGATTTTTAGCGTAATGAGTTCCTAAACTTATTGTTGAGAAAGGATGATGCTGTAACTTCTCTAGAACTGACGATTTCCATTGCACCTACACTAATCATTGTTTTTACCATAATAATTTTGCTTTTAAACCCCAGATAAACAGCTCTTACCTAAATTCCTTATCACCAAATACGCTACAATCAATCTTATTGTGTTGTTTTAACTGATAGGACGTTTATTAATTCTAAACTAAACTCATTTTTAGAAACATTTGTTTTAATTAGAATCACTTTAGATGCAGATAAAATATATTAATAATCATTTCTAATTGAGAGTTTCATCTCATTGAGTCTTCACATAATTTTTTATTGCTTGTCGCCTAACTACAATCAAGTTTAACTCATCTCTGGAACTGATAAGAGCTCATGGAAATTGCGAAATCAAATTTGAACAACTTATCTTTTGCCTACATTTAACATCAGCAAAATGCTATTTACTATACACATTTTGTATAATTTTTACCCACCTTTGACGGCAGTAGAATGCCTTTTATTACACACGTTTTTCCACGTTTACTGAAGGACATCTGGATCTTCATGAGTGTTTCTACTAAGAAAAGCAGAGCTGGTCCTAGAAACCATTTCCAGAAATTAGGTCCATGTAACAGAAGAATAATCCAGAATGCCAAGTACAGTAAGTGTGTGTAGTAGAATATCTAATGAAGAAATCGAATATTCGTCATTATAATGCGATTTCAAAAAGTGTAAGTTTAAAAACAATATTCAATAATATTATTCCACAAAAGCTGAAAAACATCCTTTATTTAACAATAATTATAAATGCTATCAATTTCGAAACCACCTAGCACTATGGATGTTTTTGGCGGGCCTCGTTATATCTAAAACTACAAAAATGCCGGTTTCTCGAAGTAAATCTCCAGTTTAATATTCGACAGGGTACTTAATATTTTATTTATTGATACAAGTAATATAAAAATGAGTTAAAAGTTGTACCCGTTGTTTGATGTAGATACTTAATATAATAGATAATTTCACCAATCTAAAAAAAAAGTAAGAAACCTTTCAAAATAGGTCATTTTAATAGAAAATGTAAGTTTATATGAGTGGATCCACGTGTGTTAACGACGAAAGCAGCTACAGCATATAACTAACACATGAAAAACTTTAAGCCTACCTCGAACATTCCACGCCGTCTAATACAGTTTAGTGCACAGATAACCATTGTTATCAGGATTACCAAGAGAATCCAGCCAGTGATACAAGCAGATCCCTTCACCCAACCAATTCCAGTTTCTGTAGAAAATAATAGCCAAGCGGCCAGATGACGATTTCCATTGGATATCCGAGCTATTGGATGTATAAAATATCAGTTCTTTCTTAAAATACTTTCTTTATGTCTTTATAAATATTTTTTGTTTGTTAACGATAAAAATGGAAACTGGAAGAAAATTAAAATAAATCAACAGCCACCATTCATGTCATAATGATTCCTTTTATAGTAATGAAAATCACTTTTTTTTTTTCAATTTTGAAGACTATCATAATAATATTCTTATTTATGTTGTTTCAACATATGTTTTTATTTCTCTTGCTTGATTTTTGAATAATTAATTCAACGTTTTCTCTATAATTAAGTATCGAAATGCTTAAAAACGGCCTTCGTATTTTATTTTCACGAACAACTTGAATTGTTAGATGCAATGTTTATCATTAGTAGAACTTTTCCATACTTTGAAAAATGCAAGAAAATATACCTATCGTGCATTCATTATTGATTATAACAAAGATACTGTTACACTGTCCTTAAAATATTGGACCGGACATGGTCTAGCAGTTAGCGTGTTCAAACTGCAAATCCAATAACGCGTGTTTCACGACCAGTTGCCACAAAATCTTCATTCTGGTCTTTCAATTCAAAAATCTGAAGAGGTATGCGAAGATGTCCCTTTCGTATTAATACGTAACATTTTGAAACAACCAAAGCTGTATAGTTAAATAGAGCTCCTGCATTTATATACACCTAGATGTTCCTGATTTATGCGTTAAAACAATTGATTTGAGAATAAATAATCAGTAGTACAATTTGGAGTTTCCGTCAGTTTCATAGATAAATATTAATCACTTGCTTAATGTTACAAGATTTATAATCAGCTGAAAAAGTATTAAGCCTAGTTTATGTGGTTAACTTCTTAAAATAACCATTTCTTTCAATCTTAAAAAAAACCAAATTACACAGCACATCACTAATACAGTTTTAGAAAAAGATATGACTCTTTAGGATAAATAATAAAATTATATTTCTAAAGTTTTGGGGTAGCAGAGCAGTTATCACAAAACTTATCAAAACACACACACACAATATTAATAAAAAAAAAAAAACGAAAAAAAAAACCTCCTTACTAAAATTGCAAATGTGCATGATTGTGTGCAAAACGCTGTAGAATAGAATAAACCAGCCAGTTAATTTATGAAAATAAACCCCTTGGTCCAGAGGCAGGTAATCTGAGAAGCCACGTTCCCGAAGAAACGTTAGAGATCGTCTTAACACTGGTAGCACGATGAACATACACGTAAAATTGAGACATTGTCCTGAGTTGGAAAAAAAAGTAATATTAAAAACAATAGATACAATGTAAATAATACTCTAAAAATAAGCTTTTTGTGTTTCTTGTTTTTGAAAACTGAATAAATTACAATGTTTCTTATTTATGTGTAAGTCTCTGTTGTTTTTTTTCGACATTAGTTTGGCCACAATTGTTATTTTTAGCGAACACAATTATTTAAAGTATCTGTTCTTATAATTAACCTTGATAATTGATTTTTAACATTGAAAATTCTGTGAAAACACTGTTATGTACATTTTTCATAAAGCAGGTTCTGAAATGTTTTGAACAAATGTTAAATTACGGTTTTAAAAAAAAGTATGTATTTTTGAGAAACTCCATACGGTTATACTACACAACAGTTTAAAACGCGATATATTAAAAAATGAAGAAATATAGATTAATTATGTCCAAATTTTAAAATAAGCGTAATAATATTAAGCGTTTTGCATATTTGCACCAAATTAAAGGAAACTGTTTAATTCCATTAGAATAAACAATACACCTACCAGAAGCTCGTGCCAAGACTTCAAAAGTAAACTTTCTTGGATAGTCTTCCAGCATAGCTTCTTCTGTTATATTATATTTTCTTTCGCGATGGGTCAGGTTATTCAAGTATTCGAATTTTGCTAGAATGTTGAGAGAGGTGTCTTTCATCTTGCTCACTTGAAGACTTCGAGACACGAAAAGTATCAAATTGATCGCCAGATATATAAACAAAAATACAGCACTTATGTAGTTATTACGAATATAGCGCCACCTCAGCTTACTTGGTAGGTAGTCCTGGAAACGTCCTGTTACATTTTCCTGACTTGGAGGTAAAAGCTGTTTCTCCGCACTACATGAAATTTCAACAGAAAAAAAAATAGTATACGTAAGACGTTTTTAAAAGATGAAGCTAAAGTATTTTTCGATACATCTAATATGACAAAACATGTCGCATTACTTCTCAAACGTTTCCCTGTTACACGTGTTTCTTATTCGTAAGTCCAGGTTTTTTAATTGAACTGTATATACATATATATATATAAAACAGTATGCTTTTATTGCCAACTTTCAGGATAAATATATTATTTTTATCCTAATTCATAATGAAGCAAGCTTTTCAGCTGTCAGTGTTTGTCTATTTTTCGTGCTCTCTGTGAATATATTTGTTTGATAAATAATTACGCTTTGACATTCAGTATGATGCATATAATTACGTTATAAAAAAACGGCATAGTTGGTGAATACTTAATTATTGCTAACAGTGGAATAATTTTTGATGCAGTTTCACAAAGCAGACCTAGGTATTCTTTCATGGTATTTTTGTATTTGTTTCTATGAGTTCTAATTACTTTAGAAACTTTCTGAGCCATAGGAGCACCTGGTATTGTTCTCAATTACCTTATAGATAAGTTTTCGATAAGACCCGGATGGCGGTTTAACTGAGCTCGGAACTTTTCAAAAGAAATAACTCCGCTCTTGTCAACATCGGCTTCTTCAAACAAGGTCATTACGAGATCTTGAAGCTGGACATCTGTGAAAGTGAGGCCATTTTCTTGCATACACTCCTTGACTACCATATCCAGCTCACTTGGCTGAAGAAAACCATCACCTGCGCAAAAGTTCAAATTAAGAAATTACAGCAAACTAAAGAACATTTTTTAACAGAACTTTGGTTTAATATAAAACTTACAAAGTTTCACTTATAATATATGAAATGTTTGCATCATTAACATTATATGCTAGCTGTCATACCCGTTCAACAAAAGTGAAAGGCATAAAAGCCTCCGGGGGCACAACATAAGGGGTTAAATTGTAACATGTACCTATCGAAACCAAACATTGCTTAAATCATTTCTAGTGGTCTAGACATTACCCACTTCAAATTTGTTTGGCAAGCCAATTATAAGAGGACACTAACACATATTTTTTTTTTCAAATAATGGTTTAGGCTCTTTGCGAAACACAATGTCTAAATTTTTATCATTGTATTATCACTTCCCGAGTAAACTGAACATAGTTATAACACTGTGGTCTTTTTATTCGTATTTCGAATTTTTGTTTAGTTGTACACGTGAATACTAATAAAAAAGTTTTACAGGTGTAGTCATTGTGTCATAAGCTATTTTACATATTTATGTGTCTCCTTGTTTGATAATATTTATTTAATTTTGTGCATTAAAACTGCCATTGCCTATCCCGTACTGTATTATCAGTGTTTGATGGAAATAACTTCTTTTTATCAAACCATTTTGGCTGCATAGACGTACGATAACAGTCCTGTTATCAACATAGCGCTACCGCCATCAGATACTTTTAAGTATAGATGTTAGATGTTTGTGTTTGAAATAGAATATTGGGTTTAATATGTAACACAAATGTATAACCAGCTTCTGAAAGGAGTTATGAGAAGCTCAATAATTCATAATCCTCCTTGTGCCAATAACTGTAACAGTTTTTTTTTTTTTAGAAAAAAAAACGAATGGAAGTTTGAGAAATGATTAGGTGAAAGGCCTGAACACAAATAAATATTTCTGGCTGCATGCGAAATATAGCTAAGGATGTTCCATAAAAGAAGTATGTATGAACAGATATAATGCAGATACTTAACTGTTTTTGTTAAGTATTTTTTATGTTTCTTGGTGTGAGGCTAGTTTATAACAATTTAGTGCCCTGCTTATTGCTCTGTGAGAACCCAGTTCGAGACAGAAATATTTGCTTGTTTCAGCTACATATTTTTAACGTATAAATTTTTGAAGCTTAACAAACATTAAACCAGCTTGGAATTTTGCAAAGTAACATCTTGTTTGTAAACAAACGTTTTTTTCTTGTCTTTTGTTCTCCCTTTCATCGTACGTTTTTCCAAGTTTTCTTTTTTTTTTTTGTATTAGCCTTATAGGAAAGTTTTCGATCAAATTTCTAACCTTGACTTTGCTATATTATATTATATATTATATATTTGCGATATATTATATTAAATTGTCTGTAAATCTACACACTGATAGTCGTAGATTTTGGTTTATAATAATTATTGGATATCTTTTAGCATTTCACAAAAGCAAATTCTCAGAATAAGTGTGAAAATAAATTATGTGCCTGCGAGTATAAAACAAGTTTCTCACCGTCAATATCATAGATGTCAAATATAGACTTTAACTTTTCTTCTGGTTTCTGTATAGCGAACTTCTTTATCCCTTGTAGAAACTTTTCAAGAGAAATAGAGCCTAAGTTATCAGTGTCGTATAGCTGGAACACTCGTTCGCTGAAGAATGTCTACATAGAAGATAGAGCAACATTTTTGATTAATTTATCAGGCGGAACATATATCGACTATTCTCAAATCTAGGATGTGTGTTTATTTGCGAATTGTTCTTGGATTAAAAGCATAAATAATATTCAATGTTAAACTGGTACACCATTAAAAACATTTTATTTAGGCCTATCTATGGCCTTCAAAAAGTTGACGACTCTACATGTTTCGACGTCATAACGTCATTCTGAGGAGTGTAACATGTAACGAGTTGGCTTGTGTTCTTATCCAACACGATACCTCAGGTGATGACAAAACCTTGTCGAAACGTTGTACATTTGCTATTATGTTAAAATTATATTAAAGTTTTTCTTCATTACCCATTCAAGCCGTCTCCAGCCATTATTAGTCTCAAAGTGGGTTCCTCGTCACCGAATTTGAATATCTCAAGTAAATACTACCTGTGTACACTTTGGATCCATTAGGTTCATTTTCTCAAAACTTACGACAAAATACTGTCATTAACTTATTGAAAACACAGCTGTCTTATTGCAGCTGTGATATTGGAAGAGTCATAATTCTGTTCGTAAGAAATATTTCAACTATACTTTTGTTGTGGTATAAGAAAAAGTTTTTCATGATAATTAGGCGAGGAGCAGTTTGCAATTGACCAGGTCTTTAAATGGTCTGCAATACTGTGGAATGATAACATTCAGCCTTTCATGATATTTTCAACTGCAAATATTCTGTTCTTGTAAGATAATAATCTTATGTCTTACAGGAACTTTTTATTTTCTGGAGCCATATTGGAAAATTAGAACACAAATATGGAGCACTAAGGAAAGGAACGATTACGGAAACATTCTACAGCTTTACTTGTATGAGAGTACTAGAGTCAGTTTGTGTTTGTTATGCATCACGTTTTGCCTCTTAAATTAACTTCTAATAATGATAAATAACGTATGTTTTCTCCACTATATTTAACATGAAATTGCTTCCAAATTACATAGAAATTATTATATATTCTCGACTAAATAATTCTATGAGAAGTCAAACAATTAAAAAATTAAAATTTGTTAGGTTGTGCAGGACTTTTACCATTCACTGTATTAAGCTTTTGTTTTGTAACGTAATTATTTTATATTATTGAATGTATTTATTATTATGTCAGCTATCGTAGATTTTTGTTTTGAATATTCAGTTACCTTCTTTCTAAATATTTTTAATTTGTGTTATTCGTTATTTGGATGAACCTAAAAATATTTCCATTTTAATGTAGCAGTCAGGTTTTGACACAAAATACAGAAAAGGATAATTCCCTTTGATTTATTCTTTTAGCATTTCTTTACTGAAGGTTGGGTTGTTATTTTCTCTAGACTTTACTGATAAAAAGACACAAGAATGTCCTATCATTTGATTTTAATAGTGCTTTGTTGTTAGCTTTGAAAGTAACCCACCAAATCTTCTTTCCCTGGATTTTTTTGCCTACATCACCTATAATGCAGTACGATAGTTATTTCTAAGATTTATTTCTATGACTCATTTGATATTTCGAATTGTGTTTTCAAATTTAATTTATTTTTATCAATAAATGAGACACTAGAGGAACAGAAAAGCAATACAATATCTTGTAATATTTGGAAGTATATATTTCGGTCTCTGTGATCAAAAAGAACAAGTGTCTAATCTAATCAATAATATTAATATTAAGAACCACATCCTATGGTGAAAAAAATATCACCTACATTTTTCGATTGAATTATCTTCTTGAATTGATCCAGGTTTAGTTCTTTCTGCTCTCCAGCATGTCGCCTGAACATTTCTTCAAAATATACCAAATATTTTGGTGAAAAGCCACGTTGTGATCTAAAGAGTAAAAAGCTAGTTTATATTGCTAAATACTTTGTTAAATTAGGGAAGAAATATAACTTTTGTTAGATTAAGCTTACTTT